GGTAGCCCAGGCTGGCCTCGAACTCACAGCGATCCGCCTGGCTCTGCCTCCCGAGTGCTGGGATTAAAGGCGTGCGCCACCACCGCCCGGCTCCAGGCTGTTTCTTAAGAGCTGAGAGGTTCCTCTGGGCTGGGCATCCACCCGAGCCACAGCTTCCGGGCTGTGCCAGCGGGCCCACCTGACATCCCTCACTGTCTGCAGACCGTCTATGGTCTGAGGACAGCTGGCACCTTCCTGGGTTGCCTAAGTTTCAGCATGGGTGTGGCCTTGAGTCTGCATGGTGCTCAGTCTTCAGTTTCCTCTGCCGTCCAGTGGCCAGGCCTTGACTATACAGACCTTTTTGGCTATGTGCTGTGTGTGTATGTCCGTCCTCAGCGTAGAGAGGCTGTTGAAGCCCGCCTTCATCCTGCCACCATATGCTCTTTCCGGACTTGTCTTTAAAGTGGGACCTTGGTGTTTGGTGGATCATTGAAGGGGCACAAAGGAAAATCCCCCTTATGTTCCCATCTGTGGTCAGTGCCTGCTCTGGTCCTGTGGCGACTGCAGGGGGTGCTAGAGTGGAGCAGGGGGTGCTAGAGTGGAGCTGGTTGAGGGACAGGGAACCCTGGGAAGCGGCTTCTTTGCCTGGGGGAGAAATCTGTCAGTGGTATGACCTACAGGAGTCCTCACTGGCAGTGTCCCCAGACATCCCCTCCTCTCCTTGGCAGTCTCCCTCTTTCATCCCTACTCTGCCCTCTCCTCTTCTCCCCTGCCTTTTCCAAGCTGACCTCTGCCAGGAGCCCGTGGTAAGGTGGGCAGTTCTCCTTTCTAGTGGAACGCAAGGCTTGGTCCAAGCGTGTGGTGGGCACTCCTAGAGAGTGTCATTTCTGTCAGAGGGAAGGGGTCATGGTGTCTGCTGACCTGGTGGTGCCCTGGACACTCAGGCTGCTGTTAGCTCCCACTGTCTGCAAGCGACCATGGGGGCAACTCACCTTTCTGAGTTTGGGTCTCCAGTAGCAATGACGAACTAGCTGTATGCCTAAGCTGCTTTGGGTTGGATGAGTGAGGCACTGTAGTGTTGGGCCTGTGGCATGGTGGCTCCAGGTCCTGTTGCTAATGTGCACAGTCCTTGAGGGGGAGAGGACAACAAACGTGTGGCTGACGGAAGCCGCGGCCAAATGGAGATAGTGAGGAGGCATGCGTCCTCAGCAGGTGCCATGGATGTGGAGCCCTAGAGCTGGACCCCAATGCTGGCAGGCACTGTGGGATCCTTGGGGTGCTTGAGGGACATTTTTTGGCAGGAATTTGGCTTCTTCCTGGGTGTGGTGTTGTGGTGTGTTCCCTCACAGACCAAACTTGACCAGGAGGTTAGAGTAGATAAAGCATACAGCTTGTGTTTTATTTAATTTTGAAAAAACTTAAGAAACATGTAGCAACTATTTGAACACACACACACACACACACACACACACACACACACACAC